ACTTTGACGTGACAGAAAAGTATTACAGTACATCTCCATATGTTCAAGAGTCTCAAACAGCATTTTCTGCCATTTTTTTATTAAAATGTTTGTCAATCAGCTACTTATTGCTAGAACATTAGGTGAATTAAAAAAGGTGTGCAGAAGAAGAGATGTTTAATGGACTCAATTTTACCACTTTACAATAAATACTGAAAATGAACCTGAACTGTAGACGCGTACAGTCGCATATTTTGACAAGCAATAAAGTCTGCTGCTGCTGCTGCTACTACTTCACTGGGCCTCATGAGTATTTTTGCACTTAAGAATTGGCAGTTGTATATCAGCGTGATGTGTCAGATCCTTGCTGCACTCTGTTGAAGAACCAAGAGGCTCCTGGGAAACCGAGCACTGTGTAAACTTCCTGTGCAGAGGTACACTTCCTTCCTACCGTCACTGGAGCACGGAGGATCCTGAAAGATGACGGATGGAGGCTCTCAGATCTTTCCTCCAGACCAAGTCAGGATCTGTGACTGCCGTTCATCATGAGCCCATTTTTTCCCCCATCGCTACCTCTGTAATAAAAGACTGAGGTGGTGTAAGAGCCAGGAGGTGGATAATCAAATCACCCAGGATTATATGTCACATTTGACCTGTACGAACGAGTTTCTACACTCAAAATTGTGATTCAATCCACAGGGGTGTTGTTCTTTCTGTCTCTGTGTAGCAAAAAAAAAAAAAAAAAAAGAGACAAATAATTCTCTGTCCTGTTTTCCTCCCTCTTTGTACGTCCATCTCTCATGCACATATTCTTTCCGCATCTTATTCTCTTTTTTTGGCTGTGAAAGTCTCCCTTCATGTGGGAAGGGACAGTTAATGAATGTGGATGAGCACGTGGGAAATGTGTGGGTTTTCCACCACATATTTCTCTCTGAGCGACAGAAGCTCGACAAGGCTTTAGAGGCTGGCTTAAGAGTTAAGGAACGCAAACAAGGAACAGCTTTTTTCCAGATGGCCACTGCAAAAGAGAGCAGAATACTCTGCACGTTTTTGGAGCCAGCGTCTGCCTGTATAGTATGACAAGTCAGTTTGAAGAAAACTACTGTTGTCTGAAGGAAATCAGTCTATTTATATATATTTATTTTAAATCACAGGATCCAACTTGGTCTGTTGGATTTGTAATGGGCCTCGCTGTTGGTCACAGTGCTCAATCTGTGTTTACAAAAGTGACAAATACAAAAGACAGAAATTCCTATCAAAGCCATCAGGCCTGAAGCTTGAAGAGGAAAGAGTAAATGTTTATTCTGTGATTCTTCCTGGTTTACTAAGGCTGCTCCCATCAACCTCTGCTCTAATCTGTGAGTATCTGGTATGCACTCCAAACTAAATTGCTGTTTATTCTATTCTGCAGGTGTGAAAGCCTGCCGCTGAATGCTATCGGGGGAATGAGGGTCCCAGGATGCTCCACTCTGCTGCTGACACAACACTATTCCTGAAAGACCCGTCGCTTGATTTACCCAAGCAAAATGTCACGGTAATTGTGAAGATTTATATCAATGGGAAAGAGCTGACGAGGTCCCACAGCTATCAGATCTGACAGACTTAATATGTGCTCAAATGTTGCTTGGCACACTAAAGGCTTGCAGGTTGACCAATTTCACCCGGAACGCTCCACCTCCGATGGTATTGACCGAGCCGTCGTTTTTCACTTCTGGAAATCGAGTGTGAAGTGGAACTTTTAGCTCGTGAAATTGTGTTTTTAATAAACGGGAAATCACCACAAAAACTTTCTTTATCAGCTTTTGCTTTTGTGTGCTATCTCTGGAAAAAAGACTGACAGGTGGTTTTCATAAATAGGCCAAACACAGGTGGGCTTCATCCTTCACTCCCCATCACATCACATGTTAAAATAAAAAAGTGATCGTGTGTTTTGGTGATGGCTGGTAATAAAGTTGAGTGACACTTAACAAAAGTACCCAAGATACTCATTAGGTTTTAAAGGAGGTAATAAGTAGCTCTTCCATACATTTCAGACTATATAGATTATGACAAATACCTTGAGAACAGAACTTTTTTTGTTTGATTATTATGTAGATTACATATTGATATATAATTTAGAAATGTCCATAGAGTTAACTCTTAATCAACAGCCAAATATCTGCTTGTTTCTTATTACTTGAACCTCAGTGGCTATTTTTGAGGAGTGCCATTAATTCCTTGTACTTATTTATACTGAGAGGTTCAATGGGAGCAGTTCACTTTACCTATTTTGTGAAGCGTTACCAGTTTGTGATAACACTAAAAATCCTATCCAGTATGATACATGGTAAATGGACTGCATTTTGTATAGCACCATTCTTTAGGACTACACAAAGCATTTTAAATATACCAGTCATAATTCACACCAGTTCATACAGAGGCAGCGGCTGTCATCCAAGGTAATACCTGCCTCAGTAAGCTTACATTCAAACACACTCACACACCGTTGGCCAAGCCATCCGGAGCAACTCGGGGTTAAGTATCTTACCCAAGGAAACCAACGAACCCAAAACCTATCGATTGAAAAAATACCGCATCATCATGGATAATGAATCTATGATGAATGGTCCATCAAGTCACTCGATAAGAGAAATTGTTGTTGAATTGTTCATTGTTCCCTATCAACAGGCATGAGTTTTTTGAACATATGTGTGCTCCTTCAGTTTGATCTATATGGGAGGGTGGTGCATTTACACTTAAGTGTCACCAAATGACTGTAACCATACATTATAGACCATCTTAAATTACATGTTGCAATGCCAGGAATAAGACCGTAATCTGTAAATAGGTAAAAGAGGGACATTTAATTCATTTTAGAGGTTTCCGCTAGATCATGTACTTCCATTGCCAATGTTTAGTGGGGATGCAGGAAGTGGTGTTTCCTATATGTAGTATGGGGCAGGGGGAAAAAAGGGTGTGACGGCCGGCAGAAGGTGGTTGTGTTGAACGTCAGACTTTCGTGAGGAGTTTGTATTCTCTGGCATCCTAAAGTATTTCACCGTAGCCCGATTGTTGCATAGCCTTAAACAATTTGATTCAGTTGCTTATCTCTAATAATCAATCAATCAATGTTTATTTATATAGCCCAATATCACAAATGTTACATTTGTCTCAGTGGACTTCACAGTTTGTACAGAATATCAGTATGACAATACGACACCCTCTGTCCTTAGACCCTCACATCGTACAAGGGAAAACTTCCAAAAAAGGAAAAACCCCACAGTTTAAAGGGGAAATGGGAGAAACCTCAGGGAGAGCAACAGAGGAGGGATCCCTGTCCCAGGACGGACAGACGTGCAATAGATGCCGTGTGTAAATCGAAAAGATAATACATTTACAACATAGGTAGACCAAATGTTTGGAAATGCATGTGTCTATGCATGTGTCTATAATAAGAAGATGAATCCACGAGGATGTCATTCTAATAATGACAGAACCATCCTTTTTAAAACAATGACAAGTGCAAAGATCATGTTGGCTTTGAACAAAATCCAGAAACATCCATTATTTATGTTCTTGTCAACAACAGAGTAGGGAAATGATGACCCTGACTGGTGTGTCTTGAGGTGTGTTAGTGATATGAACACCACAGAAGGTAATTTACAGAAAACAGCTGGATATCATGATGGGTCTGGTCTGAATCATACATCATTATCATAATCTCTTTCTCCCACTCTCTTCTGTCTGACTTTTTTCAGCACATCATTAAAATATTACATTACAAAGTGCAGAGTAGTCGGCTGGAAACAAACCTTGACTAACATTATTACTTTTACTAATATGTTTACAGGTAAAGAGACCATCTGAACCTGAATAGTATGAAGCTAAAAAATACAAACAGAAATATGACGTTTCCATCACAGTTCTGACCTAAGGTAAAAGTAACTTCAGGTGCGATCACACCTTCCCTGACATTTCCAAAAAGTATTAATAGTACAAAGTTCTGAGGGGGCAAATATGTTAGTGTCATCAAAGGTATTATTTAACCCCTGCATTGTTTAAAATTAACAAAATGACAGGCAATGAAGTCTCAGCTTTTACAAACAGAAACATAGACAAAAAAACATTGCTGAGTTTAAACATTTTGAGTTTTTGTATTTTTTGGTTGCCCTTGAAAGTAGCTTTGCATTATCTGTTTGTTACGGGCAACAGCTCTTACAACAAGATGCCTTAAAGTCTCCGCCCCACTCAAAAATGTATGTTTTAATACACTAAGTTGTATATTTATGTACCCGAACGAGATGGTATGAAGTGCTTTGTGACATTACAACAAGTTTGGAAAGAAATTATGTGGGAATAAACTAAGTGAAGTAGGAGATATCTACCATCCAGAATTTACATTATTAAAATTAATTGCATATATTTCGTTTTTAACGAGAGTAGAAGATATCATTTTAAGTGTTTTTCAATTAAAAATAAAGCACCATAATCATGGATTAAAGTATTTTTATGTGCTAAAGCAAGCCCTAAACATCTGTCCTCAGATAACACTCTTTGGCTCATCCCTTTGTTTACTCCTGTGTGTGCACAAGTGCAAATTATTTTCATTTTATAAGGCTGCTTCCTTCGTTATGCCGCTCTTCAGTCATCTTGGCTCTTGTTTGCTGTACCTGTTTGTTGCTGAGTGTGCAGACTGACAGACTGGGGAACAAAAGCAGAGAGCAGGCACTTGAACTGTTTTTGATACTTCACAAAAATATAACTGAAAACATCGACATCTGCACTATGTGGGTACGATGTACTACTGTACGAATCACTACTGTATTTTTTATACAAGTATAGTTTGCCATTTATTCAACAGAGGGTTTATCTTTCAGTGAATCCACTCATGGCTTGCTACCTTTGAAATGGTAGCAGAACGGAGGGGAGACATCTGCCTTGCTTTTAATGGCTATCACAAATGTTTCAGAAATTCCACTCCACCTGAAACTTCCCTCCCCTTCAGCACACTCCCAAATTACAGCACTGGTATGAAGCTTGGACTCTCAGCCACGCAGAGTATTTTCCCTAGCTAAGAAGTCGGAAAGATTCCTCCTGTGCTCTTGCATCATGGACGCAAGCAGTAAATCCAGCAGTCAACAGATTCTGTGGAAAGATGTGAGTCCATTTTTTTCTTTTTAAGTTTGATATATTGCACTTATATTGATAGCAAAAGACCTATGTAAAATAAATTCCAAACTTTTAGTGTCTTTATGAATACTGTGCATCATTTTAAATTACCACAGAGTTAGAAAAATGGGAGCACCCTTACACTTTTACAGCTCTATCAATTAAATGTAGGTGGCAGCAGGAGTAAAAGTGGGGAATCCTGTGATATTTGAGTGTAAGCTAAAAGTTAAATATGTCAGAAGTTAGATTTTTTTTAATCAAAAAGGAGCTGCTGCTTGATCTCTTGCTCATTGAGCTGAAGATCCTCAAAAGTAATTCATTTTGGCTTTTCACCTTGGCTTTCTCTCTTCTTTATTTCTTTCCATTATATTCAGTCTCACTTGAATTATTGTATTTGCTTTGTATAAAGAATATTCTTGCTTCTTAAATGCAAACCACAGCATTCAAATATACACTATGATTTTTATTTTTATTTGAGAATTTATTATTAAGAAGAAAGGGGGAGGAGGAGGGACTTTTGGCTGTGAACTTTTTCCACCACTCATATTTCACGTGTTGCATAACTTCTTATGTAATAGGGGTAACTGTCTGCAAAGCACAGTGTTATTATCTTTTATATATAAAATGTGTGAAAAGCAAGCTCTTGTTCTGTCCATCAAAGAAAAGGCAGTGTTGTATCAGGTACTCAACATAACCACAGTCTAGATGACTGATGGAGAATGATGATGATGATGATGAAGAATTTAACTGTGGCTGCAAATGTCAGAATCGTTTTCACAGGATTTCAAATACTTATATGAGCGTATCTCAGTGTGATAAACCACCGCTTCTGCTTGGCGGATATGTAGGCTGCGTTCCTATTTCTGTAGTTTTCTCGAGGAGGTGCCCCCGCCCTGCATGATAACAGCAGGCACTTTTCCTCACAAAGCCTGAGAGGAATTGCCAGGCTGATTCTGAACTCCTAAACCTTTAAACACTAGTTGGCGAATTGTGTGCACTCAGACTGCTCACTCCGTCTCCATCCTTGCCTTTATTTCTGTCCGTCTGTCTGTCTCTCAATCCCACCTTCTTCCTCTGAGTATTCAAAATTCAAAGCGCAGGCAGAGAGAGAGGTTTGTCCTCCAGTTACGTTTCCACTGCTTATGCAACGTGCCACAGGAGAGCAGAGGGTTTCAGCCACAGTTTTTTTTCTTTTTTTCCCCTTTACTCTGAAAAATTCACAATGATAGGAATTTCTGGCTTTCTGATTGTAGCACTCTGTTTTTCCATCAAGTCTTAGGAATTTAAAACACTTTATGCGCCTCACGCTTTTGTTGCTACTGTCTCTGATATTTCAAAAATGTGGAATTCATTAATGGAAAAAGTTTATTTTTGTTGGGGTCTTTGTAGAATAACGTGTCCTCTGTTCTTCCTTAAAGTCCTACTGCTAATGTATTTACCAATCAGAAACTAAATCCACAAAGCACATATGAGAATTCCTCCTGTACGCAACGCCACATATATTGTAATTTATGAATTCTTAAAAGGCTATGTGGAATTATTTGGATTGGGACTATTTGGGATATTTTAACAGTATCCCAAATTATACCAAAGTCCAAAGTCGGGAAAAGCTATCTAGCTATTATTAAAAAATTATTCCTACATATTATTTTAGGAAGTCAGCCATTTAAAGTACTGCTCAATCTACTGCAGCTTAACTACTTTAACAGCCTCGGCCACAATAGAAAAACCAAAGCTGCTTAATTATCGTTTTAAGAGACACGAAGATAAGCAACACCAATTTTGCTAATTGAGCTTGGTTCCGTTTTTTATTTTACATATCTGCTTTTCTGTTGTCCTCCGAGACCATCAAAAGGGGTCCAGCGTGAATGAGAAGCTTTTATTTCTCCCTGCTGGAGCTCTGCTGGAACAAAAGCCTGTCTTTATTCATTTGTGGCCTTGAGCCTCGGGAATAGACTACAGAGTTTTCATTTAAAGAAAAGTTTAATAAACGTAACCTCTCTGTGGCAGTAGTACAGTCTGTTCTTTAGTGGTCTTGGCATGGGGATGGTTATTTTTGTCATTAGTCTTCTCGTTGGTCTATCGACTTTGCACGAGAGAAAACACTACCAATGAACTCTATTTAGATAAAAAGTAAAACAATACTGAAAATAAAATAAATATGAATTAGAAGTTCAGACATAAAAATGCACATTTAAATCAATACTTGGACTTTTGGAAAATGTTCTTATTGGCTACACATCGTAGGTATTTAAACAATTGGGAGAGAAGTAAGCCTCGACTCCCAAGGTGCATTTCAGCAAACATTCAATTATGTGGCTTTCATTTCTGTTAAGCCCTCCGCTTATGGGAATCAACCTACTGTATGGTCATCAATTTTTTAATCTAATTAAACCAAAGCAGGCTGTAAGGTGTAATTCTAAGTATTTTGGCCATACTGAAGCTTTGGATTAAATACTATGGGTTTAGGAAAATATGAAGTTTGAGTTAAGATAACTACGGAAGTATTGTTTCTAAAGTGCGGAAGTTACGTGACAAATAAATCAACGCTGACTTCTGGTTTCACAAAGGACACAAATTGGTTTCTCCTGGGTCAAATCTCCAGTTTTTAGACCCTCCCAAACACCTCTCCTCCCTATGTGGATTGTGTCTCTCTTCCTTCTCTACATGAACTATGTATTCAAAAGGGATTGCATACATATCAAATTTGAAATATGGGATATGTACAAATTCCGTTTTTATAGTATAGCTACAAGAACCAGCCTGATTTATATGCCATATATAATATCAAACCCTATTGTTTGCAGGTTGAGGCGGGAAAGGAGAAGAAGGCCAAGTACCACACGTACCAGCGCGTGGCTCTGGTTCTGGCTCTGGTCTTCCTCGTTTTGGGTCTCTGTATTTTCAGCCTGAGATATCTGTGGAGCCCCAGTCTGGGGAAGGTAAGTCCAAATATCACCTCATTGTTCACCAGTCATCAGTCTTATTGCCACTGTCTGTCGTAAGTGTGGTCCTCAGATGAAAGACACATCAGTAAATCATACAGGCTCCCTCAAGGAAAAGAAATATGCGAGTAAGGAAAATGGATAGCCACACAAAGAGCCAAAGGCAGCCTCTGCAGCCTGTATTGTATTCTGCCAGATTAAAAGATGTGTGGGCTACGGAAAGACAGCTGTGTGTTGCTCTGCTCATGTTCTGGCTGTCAGATCTGTAATTTCATGAAATCTTGGACCAAACCACAAGCCGCTTTTTTACCGCCGCAAATGTCTGCCTGTTGTATTTATCTACTTCCTGCAGTGCACACATTGTAAACATCTCCTCACAATGATGGATCCTGATAACTCAAAACTGACCCTAATTGCTGTTGACCAGAGTGGCTGCAGGAGGACTGAAACCTCTTGGCAATGTAATTGGGATAAACTCTTGTCCCTGGAAATTCATCTTGTAAAATCCAATTCAATCACACATGATGCAGAGCATTTTCACTCCGCTCCTTTCCCCTGATTTTCCCAAGGGGCAAAATAAAAAAGCTAATTTACCCAAGGCAGGAGGAAAAATACATCAAGGATTTCACATCCAGAAATGAGAAGCTCTATACATTCTGAGCACAGTTGCAAATAAGAAGATTATGACAATGAGATGAGGGTTCAAATTGAGAACGTAAACTTCAACCTGGATGCATAAGCCTGCTTTGTGAGTACTGCTAATGCCAACAGGGGAACAGAGGAGAACACACATACAGGATGTCGCTTGCTGTTATACCAACATCTTTGTAAATGCTAATAAACATGAATTCAGAACACCCTCTTCCATTATTTCACTCTTTCTACTTCCATCGAGATACAAACTTCAAGTGCGTTCAGCCTTTTATACGCTCAGGTTAGCCAAGGTTCAACTGCACTCCCTGTGTATCCTCCATTGTCCACGTTCTCTCCTTTCAACATAGATATGAATCACCTACAAGCCATCTCCTTTGTCCTTGTTAAATATTTCATGCCGGAGGTAGAGTGGTCATTATTTCCACTTTAATAAGCTGTGATCATTCTCACGTGGCTTAAAATGCGTTGATGGCAGAGGTTGCCCAGGCGATGAATATCAAACCTGCGGACCCTGGGTTTTGCTTTAATGGGGTCTTGAGGGGGAGGCTGGTTCTCTGGCCTCCTGCTCAGTGAGTGAGAAGGAGACACTTCAAAGGACAATCACCTGTCTGTCAGATGGAAAAAGAAGCTTCCTCAGACACAGCAGGCGAGTAAAATGCAGCTTTGTATGCTCAGTAAAAGCATCAGGAGACTCTGAAGGTAAAGAGACGGACTGATAGATGTAGATGGATGGATGGATGAGTTCTCCTGCATCAACATGGCAGCCAGCACCTTGTTGTAAACAGGTATTGGGTGCAATGCAGCAGGACACTTGACTCACCAGCTAATCCTGAGCAGTGTCTGGCACCTACATGTATAGACTCTGGGCAGCGGAGCGCAGTGTCTGAAGCCAAAGGGAGGGTACATCATTTATTTTAGGAAACAGTTGAGTGGGGGTTGTTTCCCGTTTGAGCGAGCATTTTGGTTACAACTCAACAAATACAATTCAACTAAAGTCTAAGGCTTCACCAGAGACCTTACACATATGGAAAACATTAGTTTGTATACAACTCTCAGAGACCTGTGCATGTGACCATGGTTATAATGGCTTTAATTATTTCCACAGCTCAAGGCTGCCTGGAAATATGGTCCTACTGTATCAAGATTAACCAGAGTCCACATGGCAGGGTCCTTGGATAGGAGGTTTTATCTTATCTAAAGTCAAATCAACTGCCCAACTACCAGAGGCAAATGTCTTGTGCCTAAGTAAAAGTAGAAATACAAAAGTAGCATCAAAAATACCTCAAGTACTAAAAAACGAATTATCCACATTTGCCCATTTAAGAAAAATACATGTATATGTTGTTATTATAATCAATCAATACATTCACGTATTTATCACAGCTGGTAAAGGTGGAACATGTTATAATAACTTTGTGAATTTACTCCAGAAGTAGCTAAAGTCTTATTTACTGTAAGTGTAACTAAAGGTAATAATTAAATGTAGTGGAGTATAAGTACACTTTTCACTTCTGAATTGTAGTGGGGTAGAAGTACAAAGTAGTAAAAAAATGTTAAAACTCAAGTAAAGAAACATTTCCTTAAACATTTTTTTAAAAACAGTACTTCAGTAAATGTACTTTACACCACGGAGAGCTATAGTTGACTGGAAAAAAAAAGTATAACATATACATCTGTATGAACAATGTATGGCTAATGTAAAATGTATTTGTCACATTTGAAGGGAAAATTGAACGGATTTGTGAATGGTAAATGGACTGCATTAAGGTAGCCCTTTTCCAGCCTTACGACCACTCAAAGCACTTTTACATATATACATATACAGTAAGTCAGCATTCACCCTTTCACACGCACCTACTGATGTTCATTTAAGTATATTTTGATGCCAATACTTTTTGTACTTACTTTAATAAATTGCACTGTGGTATTCATTATTTTCCTCTAAAATGTGTCGGGACTGCATCCACCGCTGTCTGCTGCTCTACCGTTTTGGCTCCCATCAACATCGTCTGCAGCTGTTTTCACTAAAAACCTCTGATAAACTCACTGTACACTACAGACAGAAGGTTATCTGTTGAACATAGAGGAACATTTAGCAGCTGAAGTGCCAGATATTTCCCTCAGGAGCTGCTAACCGAAACAGAGCTTAAAAGGTGAGTGACATTAGGACTGACATCTGAAGGTGGACATCAAACGCAGGGTTAAGAAACATATGGAGTTTTGAAGCCGTTGTGTCTTCCCACAGTGAATCATGTTGGCATGCTTCTGTCGGTATGCACTAATTTCTCATTGGAATTAATTGAAAAAAGCCAAGTGGACCCAAAGAATGTACGCCATATAGTCAGCACACACCATGCTTAAGGATAATCATTGAAAAAAGGAAAAGCGTGAAATGTACAAAAAGAGTTTGCAGAGAAAGTTGTGGTTTCCTCTCATTCTGAACACCTGAGACTGAGAGGTGCAAACTAGCTTTAAGAGTCACATCCTTCTCCCTGTGAACAAATGAAAGAGTTGCAGGAGGAAGTAGTCACTAGAAGGTGGTGTTGAACAGTATGGTGCTCCACTGCCAGGTTAAATACAAGGGCTTGGACCTTTTCAAGTGATGGATCAAAACTGACAAATCCAAGAATCCGCAGCTTTGAAGATCACAAGCTAAGAAAACCCTGTCTCTGCCTTAGATGTTTTTACTATAAACATTGATTACAAAGTGTGTTCTGCTCCAAAAAAATCACTTCTTGTGACCCTTAAATCACTTCCTGCATTTTAATGACTGCTTAAAACTCTTTTGTGCTCAGTAAATAGTGTACTTTATGTTGTTGCACTTAAAAACAATTGCTACTTCCTTTCAAACTAAAAGCCAACACGTACCATCATGTATCACGTATTACGTATCGCTTTGACCTCAGCATATCGAATTAGAAGTGTAAACCACAGTCGGACTGCAGCCACAAACACTTGTCGTATATTCTCGTCATACAGTTTACTGAAAGCAACGTGACCCTGTGCACCCGGCTTTGTGCAAATAACCGCAGAATGGTAATTTGCTCTGTGCATTGTATTTCAATATGGCATGATAACCACTTGGGATCTTCTTTTAATTACCTGAAAACATATGTTGTTACACAGGCTCTGGGAAGATAGTGTGCCATCATTGCCTGTGTGTCTGCCTCTTTGTATGTATGTGTGTGTGTTGGAGGGCGTGGTTGTGGTTGTGCCCATGTGATTGTGTACGCATCAGTGTGCATTGTGTGTTTTTGTGTGTAGATAAGGTGCCTCTGCATTCTCTTTTGGCTTACGGCAAATTTCTGTTTACCATGTGCTCGTTATTGTTCTGGGCCACAAGTCGCACTGGGGGATTTTGCCTCCTTGTAAATGAATCCTCAGTTATTACCAGTTTACATCTGCAACTCCCTGAAAAATTGAATCTGGCTGGTGGATCCAAAAGAAAGGTGAGAGAAAGTTGCAAGACTATTTTTAAAAACCGTGAAGAATGAAATCCAGATGTGGATGTCTGCTGTGTGTAATGTCTGTAGCGCACAGCATCCAAAATGAAATGCTCATATCATTAGATTTGATATATTTGGTCCTATTTTTAATTCATGAACCACTTTGAGCGAGATTATCTGCAGACCAGCAGCCAGGCACAGAGTAATTGTGGACCTGTGTAAACCTTTTTTTCCTGTTGAACATTGAAGAGCTCACAGGTGTTGTTGGTCTGTACGGCAAATCTGCCCGAGAAATACATGAATGTCAGACCGGAGGAAAGTGCTCCATTATTCAAGCTGAAATTGCATTGCTCACCTTGATGCCTTTCCCTCTCTGCTCCCAAGGTAGCTGCTGAGTTGTCGCTCCTGATGGCCTCTTAAATGCCTCACTGTCAGGACCGGCTTCTTTAATGAACAGTGCTGCGCCTGCTGCTTTCACACTGGACACAGGTGTACGGCTTTTCAAGGCCGAGCGCCCCTTTGTTTATTTATTGCTCGTAGGCGGTGTATGCCCAACAGTCCCCTCAGTGTCCAGATGTCAACATGCAACAGGAAGGGGGGAGACACAAGATTTGATCATGATATGATTCTGTTGTCTCTTTCTTCTTAGTTTGTCTACAGGAAAAGAAAAAAAGACTATCTTCTCTTTAAACTCTGTTTGTTTACTCAGTCTCGTATGGGGGAATTATTATTCTGGTGAGGCAACAAGGTTTATCTTAACAGCTGGTTTGGCAAGACCTTTTGGGAGGCCTGCCCCTCAGTCTGGTAATCTTTTCAGATTTTACACGTCAGGCTCATTCATCCATTAGCAGGACAGTGTCCACTTGTGTTTTTCCCTGGCTGGTAAATTAGGCCGCT